AATTAATTTAATTGGGCCATATAAAACTAGTTAAGTAATTAAATAAGGAAATATTAATATTAATGGTGAAATAAATAAATCACTGAGATTGAAAAATAATATTCTGGACTAAAAATGATGTTGGAATAAAATAATGAAAATAAAATAAGGTTGGATTAGCTAACATAAATAATTGACTATATGTAGATTTAATAAATAACTTAATTACGTAATTAGTGGACTAATTCAATTAATAATTTTTATGATTTATTATTAGAGATTCGGACCTCATATAAATATTTAAAATATTTGAACTCATAAATTAATGGGTTAATATAAATATAGCAATTAAATAATATTTTTTTGAGTAGAGTAAATTAATGGTGGTTATTGAAAAAAAAATAGGATGTTGTAGTTAATTACATTCGGATATTTTATTTAATATTAGAATTCAAATATTGTAATTAATGGCTGAATTAATAAGGTAATTTGATTAATAAAAAGTGATTAATCAAATAAATTCGAATAACTAATAAATTAAGTTAATAAATTCGAATAATAAAATAAAAGGAGAAAATCGGGTAAAATAATGACAAAGAGAATAAGTGACTAATTATATCATCTTAATTAAAAAGGTGAATATTTAGAGACCGGAACTGAAGAAGAGAATTAGGAGCATCGGGATTTAAGGTAAGTTTCACGTCAACCGAAATTAGTTCTTTTTCTTCGTGATTTCTTTTAAATATTTTTGTGTGTTTATTTGTGAATTGAATTTATGTGTGCTGAATTTGAATATTATTATATAAAAGGATTGCATTTGAGATATTAGTTTGTTGATATGAGTTATTTTGGAAGATTTTTGTAATTGTACGTAATTTGTTATCTTTGTGGGAGTTTAATGAAAAAGGAAATTTTTGAAGTATAAACTTCGATTGATTTTGAGAAAACAAAGAGAAATAAATAATTTTCATAAAGGGTGAGCATCACGAGAGAAATCTGTGGTGTTGGTTTTCCACGTCCCTTAAAATGTGGAGGGTGGTTAGGTCTACTACTACTCAATTTTTGGTTTGTGTTGGTTTGAGGTGAATTGTCGGTCGGTAGAAAACATCCCGGCTCTTGAGTAGTAGTGGTAGTAGTAGCTCCTAATCATTCAGGTTTTGAGGTGGGGTAGTTGGTAGAAAACATCCCGGCTACCCGGATCGACTTACTAACCCGGAGGGCTTGGAATACCTTTAGGGGGTGTGCACACTTAAAGTAGTTGTTTCCGTTTCCAAGGAGCAGTTGTGGTACCGGCGATAGTTCCGGGGTGGCCGTACATAACAACGGACCATCGGGCTCAACCAAAGTGTTGAGCACCGCCCTTCTAAATTACTAGGAAGTTAGATACAAAGTGATTTTGGGAGAAATTCAAAAGAGGAGAATTTTGTTGTTTCATGTATTTTGGAATTATTATGGTTTACGAGTTAATTATGTGATTGGGATTTTATATAGATATCGTTTACTTATGATTTATGATTTATAAAGTGTTTTGAAAAATATTTTATGAGGTTGTACGAATTTATATATATTATTTATTATTATTTCAAAAGGTTAGGTGGAACTTACTTAGCATTATTGCTAATGTTTGTTTTCTTTTATTTTTCTTGTGCTCGTATTTAACAGGAGGTGATCATGTTGATTTTGATGCTGCAATGTTTGAGAGCGCGAATTAGAAGACAAATATGTAGTTCACTAGAAATAAACTTTAATATTTGCTTATGATTCGAACCTGTTGATTTTTGTTAAACTCGTGTTTTGGTAGATAGCCTTAGCATCCAATCATTCACGGATTGGATGTGGCGGTGACATGCCCCTTTTACTTAGTTTTTATTAATTTCCGCTGCAACTTTTGAAGTTTTAATCATTAAATAAAAGTTCATCTCTATTTCAAAGTATTATTTTGGGTGGAAAATTTGGGGATGTCACAGACAATATTCAGATTTCAATATTAAACAAGACTCCATCAGACCACAACCCTATTCTCATACAATGTGCTAATGCTGGATACTCAAGTCCTAAGAGTTTCAAATTTCAAAATATGTGGTTTTGTTACAAGGACTTCATGGATTTAGTCAAATCTACATGGAACTCTATAGGCAACCAGGGAGGTATGAGGGGCTTAATTATCAAGCTTCAAAGTCTTAAGAAGGTGTTGCAAGCTTGGAACAAGGAGAAATTTGGTAATATTTTTGAATCCATCAGATTGTGTGACGATGAGGTGTTGCAAGCAGAGGCTGCTTTTGAGGAAAATCCTAGTGTGGAAAATAGGGAAGATTGGTTTTATAAAAAAAGTCTTTTGGCTAATAAGTACAAAATGGAGAAATAATTTTGGAAACAGAAAGCCCATATTCAATGGCTTAAAGATGGGGACAGTATTACAAAAATTTTTCACACCTTTGTGCAAGTCAGAAGAAGAGGACATAGTATTACCTCTATTAAAAATCAGGAGGGTCAGGAGGTATGTACCCCTTCTACAATTGGTGCTGCAGCAGTGGAATACTTCTCTGGGTTATATACTGAGGATAATTCTGCAAACAACAACACCATTTTAGAATACATTCCTCAACTGGTCAATCAAACTGATAATGAGTTCCTTATTAAATTGTCAGACATGGAAGAAGTTAAGCAAGCAGTTTGGGATCTCAACCAAAACAGTGCCCCAGGCCCGGATGGATACCATGGTAAATTTTTCAAGAAATGTTGGGAGATTGTGGGTTGGGATGTGGTCAAGGCTGTGCAGGAATTTTTCATCGGGGTTCCTATACCCCAAGGTTTGGCTAGTGCTCTTTTAGTCCTAATTCCTAAATCAGATCATCCCTCCAGCTTTAATGATTTTAAACCTATTTGCTTGTCTAATTTCATTAACAAGGTATGCACTAAAGTATTGGCTTCTAGATTGAAATGTATACTTCCCAAAATTATATCAAAAGAACAAGCTCGTTTCATGGCTGATAGGGACTCAGTTGATCAGATATTTATAGCACAAGAAATGGTTCATTGTATTGACAGGAAGATTAGAGGCAGTAACTTAATGATTAAGCTTGATATGGCTAAGGCTTTTGATAGGGTTTCCTGGCAGTTTCTCTCAGCTATTCTACTCAAGTTTGGTTTTTCTCCTCACTTTATTCTACTGGTCATGAATAATCTTAAAGCTACTTTCCTCTCTATCTTGATAAATGGGGCTCCTCATGGTTTCTTTAAGCCCAATAGGGGGGTCAAGCAGGGTGATCCCCTATCCCCATTTCTCTTTATCATAGCTTCAGAAGCCTTTTCTAGGGGGCTAAGCTGGTTGATAAATGCAGCAACATTAAACCTTTTTGGATGGGTATTCAAGGGCAGCCTGTATCCCATCTAGGTTTTGCGGATGATTTATTGATTTTTATAAATGGAGAAGCTAGATCAAGAATGAATTTCAAAGCATTTCTTAATACCTATCAGGAAGCATCTGGTCAGATGGTCAATCTTTCTAAAAGCTCTTTCATTTGTGGAAAATCTTCTCTTGCAAGGCAGAATAAAATTATGGAGCCCCTGGATACGAAATTGGCTTCATTTCCTATCAAATATCTTGGTGTGAACCTGCACAAAGGTATCAATAGATTTGATTACTGTGGGTCCATTATCCAGCAATTTGAAAAGAAACTTTCACCATGGAAAAAAAGAATCTATCTCAGGCAGGGAGGCTGGTGCTTATTAAATATATTTTGAATTAAATTCCCCTACATCTTCTTCATGTTGATACACTACCTAAAAAGGTGATCAAAATCATCAACAGTAAGATATATGGGTTCTTTCTTCTGGGGATCAAATGGTGACAAGATGAAGTATCATTGGTTAAGATGGGATAAGCTTTGTTTTCACACTATTGAAGGAGGGCTAGGTATAAGGTCTTTAAGTGATATTGAAAAAGCTTTTACCCTCAAACTGTGGTGGAAATGGAAGACATGGGATTCTATATGGGTCCAACTTATGAGAACACAATATGGTAAAAATGGTAGCATGGTACCTAAGATTACTAATTCTGCTGTATGGAGACGAATCTACTTGGTAAATGAACAAGCTGAGGATATATGATCTGTTGACCCTTCATGCAAAATTATCTGGCAAATTGAAGATGTTGGTCAGTTCACTTTTAAATCAGCTTTTGAGGAGGTAAGGGACCTGTCTTTTAGTTTTGATAACTATCAGCAAATTTGGAATACTAAACAAGAGCTTAAGGTCAAACTACTTCAATGGAAGATCAATAAAAGGACTCTTCCTACATCTGACAATCTAGACAGATTTAATATGGTTCTGAATCCTTCAATATGCCCTCTTTGCAGAAGACATAGTGATACAATGAAGCATATTTTATTTCAATGTTCTGTGGTGAGGAGAATATGACAATATTTTTTGAGTATTTTTGGAATCTTCCAAACTCCTGGGATGGATTATGGGAATTTTCGATACTGGAGGATAAAAATGGAGGACAAAGTTTGATTTCCTTAATAAAACCAAATATTCCTTGTATTATCTGCTGGATTATTTGGAGGTTTTACTCTAATTTAGTTTGGGGATCTGGAGGTATGGTTGCTACTTCAGACAATATCATTATCCAGATAAAAATATATACATTCGCAATTGGGTAGCAACTCTATTTTTTTTAACCCGGAAGGCCAACCACCAAAATCAGTGGGGTAAATGTTGGGTGTCATTTACAATAATATTATTGAGTGACAGAGCTAATACAAGAGAGGAGGACTAGACCAAGGCCTCTCAATAAAAACAAAATCATAACAATCTGGAAAAACAACCGATTAAAAACGAATAGACGGAATCCCAAAAAAATCTAGCCAGTAAGTCTGCTTAGCACAAATGGGCAGCTGGTGTGGGCTATCATACTTGCTAGGAATATCAATTTGGGCCAGATGGTGGGCAACCCAATTCCCTTCTCTCAGGGTATGCTCAAACGAAATACCTTTCCTAAATGAAAGGTCTGAGACTTCCAAAAACGAGACCATCCATCTTCTTGACTGTTTCCCAGCAATATACTCAAGAGCCATAGATGAATCCGATTCAACAACAAAATCTTCATATCCTTCTACCGACACCCACTTCGCCGCATGAACAATAGCTTCAAACTCAGCCTCCAGAGCCGAGCTAGCTTGCAGAGGGAAGCTAATCGCCTGAATCATCTTTCAATTTCGATCTCTAAGGATCGCTCCTCCAGACGCCTTGAAAGATAAGTATTTCGCATCAACATTAACTTTCCATTGTTGCTTCGGTTTCTTCCATCTGACAAATTGTGGCCGTGCATATTTAATCTTGAAATTTTCCTGTATCAAGTGTTCCTAAAAAAGAATAGATCCAATTGACCGAAGCTTTAAGCCAGATAAACTAATTGCCCAGGAGTGAGTGTAGAGCTTTATTTGGATTATGATTTGTTCTGCAGTGACTTGAGTCTTCCCAGATCCCCAAATTATAGAGGAGTAAGCTTTCCAGATAAACCAAAGGATAACTCCTGAAATATTCCTTTTAAAAACCTGAACCAAATTTGTAACACTTTTGCCCTTCCATTTCATACGCATTGGATTAAAATCCTGTCCATGAGGTTTGTGAATATCTAGAATTCCCCAAAAATAAGCCCAAACCTCTGTAACCACCTTACATTGAAAGAAAATATGAACCATGTCATCTCTATAACTTCTGCATAAAGGGCATATTGAAGGGTTTAAAACTGTTTTAAATCTACCAAGATTGTCAGAAGTAGGGACGATCCCTTTAACAATTTTCCATTGTATAAGTTTAATTTTCAGCTCCTGTTTTGACTCCCAAATGTTCTGAAAAACTTCTTGATTGTATGACAATTCCCTAACCTCTTCATATGCAGATTTAAAAGTAAATTGACCATCTTCCTCCTCATTCCAAATTATAGCACCAGAGTTGTCAACAGTACAAAGATCAGAAGCATAGTTATGGATGGAGTATATTCTTCTCCAGATAGGGGAATTAGTCAGTTTAGGTATCATATTTCCTCCTCGATTGTATCTAGCTTTAATAAACTTTGTCCATAGAGAATCACCTGCTTGCCACTTCCACCAAAGTTTAATAGCAAAGGCTTTCTCAATATCCCCTAGGGCCCTAATTCCCAGTCCTCCTTCCCAAGTTGGATAGCACAACTTAGACCATTTTATCCAGTGATGCTTTTCCTTTTCATTTGATGAACCCCAAAAAAATGAGGCCATTTTCCTGTTAAGAACAGATATGACTTTCTTGAGAAGATTATCCACTGCCAAAGTATGTAGAAGTATGGAACTAAGAACGTGTTTTATAAGAATGAGCCTCCCCCCTTGGGAAAGATTTTTCTGTTTCCATGGTGAAAGTTTATTCTCAAATTACTGAATAATGTTCCCACAGTACTGAAACCTATTAATTCCTTTATGGAGATTTACTCCCAAGTACTTAATAGGCAATGAAGCAAGTTTCATTACAAAGGAGCCCTTAATCTTCATTTTCTGGCTGGAGAAGAATGACCACAGATAAAAGAACTTTTTTCAAAGTTAACCTCCTGACCACTTGCATTCTGATAGGAAACCAGAAAATTTTTGAAATTTGAAACTGATCTAGCTTCCCCATTAGTAAAAATCAACAAATCATCTGCAAAACCCAAATGTGAGACAGGAAACCCATGATGACCCATCCAAAAAGGCTTAATTTTTCCCACCTCCATTAATCCATTAAGACCCCTGGAAAAAGCTTTTGCTGCAATGATGAATAGAAAAGGGGAAAGGGGATCTGCTTGCTTGACCCCTCTGGTAGGCTTGAAAAAACCTTGGGGAGAGCCATTAATAAGAACAGATAGGAAAGTAGCCTTGAGGTTATTCATGATAAGATGAACAAAATGGTGACCAAAGCCAAATTTCAGTAGGATAGCACCCAAAAACTGCCAGGAGACTTTGTCAAAAGCTTTTGCCATATCAAGCTTTATCACAAGGTTAGACCCCCTAATCTTTTTGTCAATGCTGTGAATCAGTTCCTGAGCAATTAGAATTTGATCAGCAATGTCTCTCCCAGCCATGAACCCAGCCTGTTCAATAGAGATGATTCTTGGCAGAATGCCTCTAAGTCTAGTAACCATCACCTTGGAGCAGATTTTGCTAATGAAATTAAAATGGAAAATAGGTCTATAATCACTGAAAGCTTCTGGGCTATCAATCTTAGGAATCAAAACAATCAATGCACTAGACATGCCCTTAGGTATTGAAAAGCCCATAACGAATTCTTGCACAGCTCTAGTGACATCCATACCCACAATAGACCAACATTTCTTGAAAAATTTACCATGAAAACCATCTGGCCCAGGAGCATTATTCTGATTAAGTTCCCAAACAGCTGCCTTAACTTCTGAAAGATTAGGAAGACCCACCAGTTGTTTATTGTCTTCCTGATTAATGATTTGGGGTATGTATTGTAACATATCATCATAGCTAACAGGAGTCTTTTCAGTGTAGAGATCAGAGAAAAACCTGACTGCTTCAGCCCCTATATCAGAAAGAGAAGTAAGTACATTTCCATCAGCCTGCTTGATAGAGGTAATACTCTGTTTCTTGTGTCTGATTTTAACATATGAGTGGTAGAAATGTGAGTTACAATCTCCTTCTTTAATCTAGTTGATATGAGCTTTTTGCTTCCAAAACTTCTTTTCCAACTTGTATTTCTGTATCAGCAGACTTTTTTTATGGGACCAAGCTTCTCTATTATTTTCGCAACGGTCTTCTTCAAATAACTTTTCAGAATGCAACACCTCCTGTTCACATAATTTGTTATCTTCAAAAATATTACCAAATACCTCTTTATTCCACACCCAAAGTTCTTTTTTAAGATACTGCAATTTAGCAATGACACCTTTCATTCCTCCACCAGTTTTCATAGAATTCCATTTGGTCTGAACAAAATCCATGAAGTCCTTGTGCTGAAACCACATGTTCTGGAATTTGAAAATTTTTGGGCCAGATAAGTTCAAATTGGAACATTGGATAAGTATAGGGTTATGATCTGAGGGTGTCTTGTTAAGAAGGGAAATCTTTATAGAATCAAATTTGTTCAGAAAAAGATTAGTAAAGAGAACCCTATCCAATCTTCTCCAAACCCTACCATTGGCCCTCACTCCTGACCAAGTGTATTTAGGACCATCATAGGGCAAATCAATCAGGTTAATAGACTCTATGATTATCAGCTATTTCATTAAAATCGCCTCCCACCATCCAAGGCAGATTTATAGACAAAGAAATAGTAGCTAAGCCATCCCAAAGTTCTCTTCTGGTTATATAACTATGCTTGCCATACACACCAGTAATCCAGCCTTCAAAATCAATACTGTGAACCTTGAAATGAACAAATTGTGGGTGCCAGTTAAAATCAGAAATTTCCATAGCTGAGGAATTCCAAAAAACCCAGATTTTATTCAAAGGAGAAGAAAGAGCATCACTATAACCCAGAATATTTTTATAAGAATTAATTTTGCTGCTATCAACAATAGGCTCTATGATTATTTAAATTTTAATCCTCCACTAATGAACTAGGGAATGAAGTCTGGTACTGGAGGAGTCCAGACCCCTAGTATTCCAAATGAGACAATTCATTTAGGCAAATTGATGCCCCCCCTCCCCCTTTAGTTGCACTTCTTGTAGTTCTCTTTGCCTGAGTTTCATGAGTGGACTGTTGTTTGGAAACACTCTTGCTATCTTTGCTTTCATTATCTGTTGGTCCATGCGAGCAGTTTGTTTACCCAAGTCTCCAAGCTCATAAACTTTGGCTACATCTGCATTTTGAGCTCTTTCATGCTCTTTTTGTGTTACAATGGTATCAATTTTAGAGCAAAGGTCTGATCAGGATGTCATAAACTCCTCTGGGCTGACTGAAACTTCATCCTCCCCTTCAGAGTAGTAGCCCCTGTGATTGAGAGTATTCTCAACATCAAAGAGGTTTTCAATTTCTTTGAGGTGGGTATCATCTTTACTCTCCTTAATCCTTTCAGGATTGGTAATTGTAAGTCCTTGGATCTCTTTTCTAGCAAGGCTTTGACTGAATTCTTGATGTCCAATGTAGGTTGTTCCACCGGGTCCAGAAAGATGTCCTCATCTTCAGAATCTGAGTGAATTATCTCAATTGCAGCTTTGGTAGTAGACTGTTTGGGTAGCAACTCTATCTACTACAAGGCTTCGTTCTATTGGGGATACGCTCATTGAGGAGGGACTTGTGCCTAGAGATTTCAGAATCAAGGGTTTCAAGTTTCATATAATTCACTGGATTAAACCTACCAAATCATTGAAACTTAACGTGGATGCAAGTTACTCACCTGACAGGGCATCTGGAGGAGCTATTTTGCGTGACTGTACAGGCAAGTTCATCTTGGCGATTAGTTTGATACAGCCCAGGTCACCTATTTCAATATGAAGAATCCAGGTAACGAGAGTTGTATTGAACAATCAAATAGAAAATGCTTCAGGAGGTTGAGGAAGAAGAAAACGTTTATTTCATATCCATCCCCTGTACAGAGTATTACATGCAGTATATATCCATTTCGGATTTACAAAAGCTAGCTAACATATCACAACTAACTTTTAACAACTTTACACGTGTCATTTTATTAACTATACAGCATGTAATAATATGGCTTCCTATTTCCGTTGAGCTAGAGCTGATCTGGCCACTTGATCCAACTATATCAACTGCATCAATACTCCTCCCTTAACAGTTGACTTGTCCTCAAGTCACTGAAGCATAAAAGGTAGGATACAAGGCCTTAATAGAATCTGACCACTCCCAAGTAGCCTCCTCCTTCTCCTGGCCCTTCCATTGGATCAGAAACTTAACTCTAGCTGCATTTCCATGTTTCACCAGTTGTCTCTCCAATACAGCCTTAGGCTCCACCAAAGTCTCTTTTGCTAACCCATGTAACCACTCTGGTATATGAGGCTTAGCTGGCAACTGTCCCCTGAACTCCTTCAATTGGGACACATGGAAGACATTATGAACTTTAGCCTCAGTTGGTAGGATCAATTGGTAAGCCACTTTTCCTACTACTTTGCTGATCTGAAATGGACCATAAAACTTTGGAGATAATTTTTCATTGGTCCTGAATTCCACTGAATTCTGTCTGTAAGTTTGTAGTTTCAACCAAACCCAATCTCCCAACTCAAACTTCCTTTCAGATCTATGCTTGTCAGTTTGTACCTTCATTCTATTTTGTGCCTTTTCCAACTGAAATTTTAACATCTTAATCATGGCTTCCCTTTGTTGCAATGATCTGTCAACTGCTTCCACCCTAATTTCACCAGGCAAGTATGGTAAATATAATGGTGGGGATTGATTATACGCAGCCTCATATGGAGTCATCTTGATGGATGAGTGAAAAGAAGTGTTATACCACCCTTCAGCCAATGGTATCCACTTGCACCACTCAGCTGGTTTTTCATTGCACATACACCTTAGATAGCTTTCAAGGCATCTATTGACTACTTCAGTCTGACCATCTGTTTGCGGATGGAAGGAAGTAGATAACAACAAATCCACTCCTTGTATGCTGAAGAGGGCCTTCCAAAAAGTACTGAGAAATCTGGAACCCCTATCACTTACAATAGTCCTAGGCCAGCCATGTAATTTGAACACATTATCAAGATAAATCTGTACTACCTCTACTGCTGAAAAAGGATGCTTGAGAGTCATGAAATGAGCATACTTGCTCATTCTGTCAACTACTACAAATATAGTATCCTTACCACAAGATTTAGGCAAACCTTCAACAAAATCCATAGATATATCCATCCACACATCCTGAGGAATAGGAAGAGGTTGCAGTTTACCAGGATAAGCTGCATTATCATGCTTAGATGCCTGGCATACTACACAAGCCCTTATAAATGCATTAACATTTTTATTAATTCCCTTCCAATAGAATATTTGAAGGATCTTTTGAGTTGTTGCATCCCTTCCTGAATGATCTCCCACAGCAGAATTGTGTGCCCAATGCAGTACTTTATTTCTGACCATATCCTCTTTTCCAATGACAATCCTCCCTTTCTTTCTTACCACACCATCCCTCAAAGTATATGAATCATACTTCATGTCAGGACTAGCCTCTAATTTCACAATCAACTTCTGCACACCTTCATCTCCTTGGTAGCTCCCTTTGACTAAATCCAATAGATTTGAATCCACAGAGGATAATGCCAAACATAAAAGTTCAGCTCCTGTCACTCTAGAAAGGGCATCGGCCACTTTATTTTCCACACCACTCTTGTATTGGATTTCATATCTAAAACCCATTAATTTGGACAGCCAAAATTGTTGGAATGGAGTAGACACCTTCTGCTCTAGCAACCATTTCAAACTTTTTTGATCAGTTTTGATAATAAAAGACTGACCAAACATGTATTGTTCCCACTTCTGTACTGCAAACACCACGGCTAGTATTTCCTTTTCATATACAGACAATTTCTGCCACCTCATTCCCAAAGATCTACTAATAAAGGCTATTGGATGTCCCTCCTGCATCAACACAGCCCCTATACCATTATTGGAAGCATCAGTTTCTACAACAAACTGTTTATCAAAGTTAGGTAATGCCAACACGGGTGCAGTAGTTAAGGTTTGTTTGAGTGTCTCAAAAGCCTTAGTTGCTTCATTATTCCAGTGAAATGATCCTTTCTTTAACAACTCAGTAAGTGGTTTAGAAATCAATGCATAACTCCTTATGAATCTCCTGTAATACCCAGCCATACCCAAGAAACTCCTAAGCTGTTTTAAAGAAGCTGGAATAGGCCATTTCACTATTGATTCAATCTTTCTGGGATCTGTCTCAACACCATTACCAGATATATAGTGCCCCAAATACTCCACTTTCTGAATCCCAAAAGCACATTTGCTCATCTTAGCATATAGCTTATGTTGTCTTAATACCTCAAACACCTGTTGGAGATGAATCTTATGTAACTCCAAGTTAGGGCTATATATTAAAATGTCATCAAAGAATATCAAGACAAACTTTCTCAAAAAATCCTTGAATATATGATTCATGAAAGCTTGAAAAGTAGCTGGTGCATTTGTCAACCCAAATGGCATAACTAGAAACTCAAAATGCCCACAATGAGTTTTAAATGCTGTTTTGAACACATCATCTTTATGTACCCTCAACTGGTGATACCCAGCTCTCAAATCAATTTTGGAAAAAATCTGTGCTCCTGATAATTCATCAATCAACTCCTCCACTACTGGAATAGGGAATTTATCTTTTATAGTCTGGTTATTCAAAGCTCTGTAGTCTGTACACATCCTCCAGTCACCATCTTTCCTTCCTACCAATACCACTGGTGAAGCATAGGGTGAAGCACTTGGTTGAATGACATCTTTCTGCAGCAACTCATTAACTTTTTCTTCAATGATGTCCTTTTGCTTGAGGGGATATCTGTAGGGTCTCACATTTACAGGTTGAGACCCTTCTTTCACAGGGATTCTATGATCAAACACTCCTCTACTTGGTGGCAATCCCTGTGGCTCTGCAAATATATCCTCATACCTTTTAAGCAACCCTTGCAAGACTTCTGGAATAACATGATCTGCTGAATCATGAGCCATGTTGATGCCAAAATGTGTCTCCACTTGCTCCTCTTTATTATCAACATTCTGACTGTAGCACTGGATCATGTATAAATGATTAACGTGTTTCATCTGCTTCTTTGTCCCTTGCATAGCCCTTATTTCTCCATTTTTCTGTCCCTTTAACACCACTTTATGACCCTTGTGTTCAAATTTCATGCATAACTCTTGGAAATTCCACTTTATTTCTCCCAATGTACTCAACCATTGAACTCCCAATACTATGTCGTAACCTCCCAGTGGTAACACCAATATGTCTCCAGTAAAGAATGTGTCCTGCATCTTCCATGTAAAATTTTTACAAACATAGTTACATTCAGTATGGGAACCATCTGCCACTGCTACTGACATAGTATCCACTTTATGTAGCCTACATCCCAACTTCTTAGCCATGTTGAGGCTTAAGAAATTGTGTGTACTTCCTGAATCCACCAAAATCAGCACCTTCTTCTTATCCACATAACCTGTCAGCCTCATGGTTCTATAATCCAAATACCCATTCAGAGCATGAAAAGATATAAGTGGTTCCTCCTCTTGCATAACAAACTCACTGACACTTTCCTGCCCAACCTTTTCTTCTTCTGCACTTCCCTCAATCTCCACTAGGAATAACTGTGTACCTTTGTGACTGCAAACATGCTCCCTACTATAAGGTTGGTCACAATAGTAACACAATCCTTTGGCTCTTTTTTCAGCCCTCTCACTGGCAGATACAAACTTTCTTGGTGTTGGAGTAGCAATGTTTTTATTTATAGGAAGTTTAATATTTGAAATAGGTGTAGGGAGTATAGGTTTGTGTAGGCTCATTTTCTGTGAACTACCAGCTTTAGATTGCATAGTAATGGCTTCTACTGTGTCTTCTTGCAAACTGGCAAATTCTATAGCCTCTGCTATATTCTTCGGATTAAAAGCCTTAACAAAAGATTTGAGAGTAGGCTTTAGAGCAGCTAAGAAACAATCTAAAAAGTAACTCGCTGGTAGTTTAGGATTTCTCTGAACCATTGCAGCCTTGAGGGATTCAAATTCATCTATAAAAGTCTCTAAAGATCCTGTTTGTTTCAATGTATTAAATTTTTCCACCGTTTTAGTGTTAGAATTATCATTGAATCTAGCAGTCAGATCTCTTATAAATTTTTTCCAATTCAACCTTTTATGAGATGATACATAACTTCCAAACCAACTGGCAGCCCTTCCTTCTAGGTATAATGAAGCTAGATTGATCCTTTGTTTCTCAGGAATATTACAGAGTTGAAAATACCTTTCACACTTCTGGATCCAACGCTTCACATTCTGCCCCTCAAAAGTAGGAAATTCTACTTTCGGAATGAATCTGAATGTTTGTTGGTTGCGCGTGAGAGATTTATCCTGTTCGTCATTATCCTCTTCCTCAGAAGATACTTCATCATCTTTATCATATTCATGCTCATCTTCCGATTCTTCTGAACGAACATTCTTCTTTTTCTGCATCTCTACTACTTTTGCCATGATTTTATTCATCATTTCCATCAAGATTTTATTCTGATTTTCGAGTTTCAGATCAAACTCGATTTTCATATTTCTCAGAACTTCGTCCATGTCGGCATTAGCTTTCCTCGTATTCACCATACTTCACCTTCTGCGAACTCTTCGCAAATGATTTCAATGGAATTACAACAGCCGTGAATGAATTATTCGAATCCACAAAGGTCTCTGATACCAATGATACAGCCCAGGTCACCTATTTCAATATGAAGAATCCAGGTAACGAGAGTTGTATTGAACAATCAAATAGAAAATGCTTCAGGAGGTTGAGGAAGAAGAAAACGTTTATTTCATATTCATCCCCTGTACAGAGTATTACATGTAGTATATATCCATTTCGGATTTACAAAAGCTAGCTAACATATCACAACTAACTTTTAACAACTTTACACATGTCATTTTATTAACTATACAACATGTAATAATATGGCTTCCTATTTCCGTTGAGCTAGAGCTGATCTGGCCACTTGATCCAACTATATCAACTGCATCATAGTTTTCCACTGCAAGCTCAATCGGCTATTGATGCTGAGCTACAGGCGATTTTCTACGCTGTGAGATGGATGCTCAACGAAGGCTTTGTTTGCTTCCAGATAGAATCCGACTCTGCCCAAGCTCCAATATCTTGCGGGCAAACATGAAAGAAGATGGACGGGTCAAATTCAGGAAATATCACTTGAAGCGAATAGGAAACAACTCTCTTTTTATCATACGAAAAGGGAGGTCAATTGGGCTTCACATCACTTGGCCCAGGTCCAGGATGATTCCTTTAAAGTTTATACCGGTTTCGATCAGCTCCCGATCTTAGCTAAAAGGGCTTTTTGGATGGATTTTTTTGGTATTCCTTCTTTTAGAATATAAGGTTTGGTTATTTTTTGTTTTAATAGGGGTAAGGTTTGGTCTCTTTGTTTCTTTTTTGTTAATGAGGTTTTTGGTTTAGTCCCCCTCATTTTTGTAATCCGCTACTCATTAATAAAATTCTGGTATCTGACTCCCGACATTTACCCCACTGATTTTGGTGGTTTACCTTCCGGGATAAAAAAAAGATACGGGGTATAAGATAAGCAAATAATAACTGATTGGGAGAATTTCCCCTCTCATATTTTCTATCTCAAGACACTTTAAGCTTATGCAAAGACATTTTTCTATAATTGTCACATATGTGGTGACAATCAATAAATTTCTAGCTCTATCACTGGAAAAAGAAGAAATTTTTCTACCTAGACATATTTTAGTCATTTAAAGCTTTATATGTATGGCGTTATCGAGAGAAAATATGGATTGATGATTTTAATACATTATAAGAAGAGAAAAGCATTAGATGTTGCCACTAAAAATTCTCTTTGAAGTAGTTTTTCAAAACTCTAACAATTAAGTTCAATACTTTATTATTTGTTGCCCACAATGCTAATTATTACGTATCAATTTCTAATGGATAGTGTTGATTTCTTTACTTTAATTTTCTTTTACTTTGAATATTTGTGATATTGATTTATACTTTTTGATATTAACTTATTTTACTCCATTTTTTAAATGATATAGAATTGTAAAAAAATCATTTTTATATTTAATTAGATCATGAACAAAAATATATAAGGACCAACTATTTTTTCCCGTGCGTATGCACGGGTGCTGTGCTAGTTTATAATAAAGATAACATATGCTTACCTATTCTAGTGTAAATTTAAATAAATGCAAAAACAATTATAGAATCAAAATGAGAAAATTAAGAGTTGTGTTTTGATTAACCTTATTTATTTTTGTACTACACACATTTTTTCGGTCTATTAGCCTTTTATTTTCTTTATATTTTTGAGAGTTATTTATTTAATGCATTTATAGTTATAAAATGGTAAAAACATAACTAGTCATATTGTGTGAATAGGCATGAACTTTAGCAATATATAGATAAATTTTGTTGGTCCCGTTTTAAATGGGAACAGTCTAGAGGGGGGGGGGGGGGGGGTGAATAGACTGTTCATGATTTTTCAAACTTTTCTCTAAGTCACAACTGACTTATCAGAGATGGTCGAATTCTGGTGACAGAGAAGGTCAAGTTCTGATGGCAGAACTGGACCTGGCAGCGGATTGGTTTCTGTCCGGGTAGCCTCAGAAAACACTAAGGCAAGTGCCTTTCTGATAACTCTTAAGGGAGATCTACTGAACACAGAGTCCAACCTTTTGAGTTAAACAGTCAAGTTCTTAAGTGCAGAATTAAATAAGTAAAGTAAATGACACCGGGGATTTTTATAGTGGTTCAAGGAACAACTTGTTCCTCTAGTCCACTGTTCCACTAAGCTTGCAAAAACAACAGTTTACAATGCCTTAGTCCCTAGAACTTAAGAAGCACTCCACGTCTTCTTCAAGCATATTTGCCCCCGGGATGCAGTCCTGCTTCCTGATGGCTGGTCTCGTTTCACTGAGTCTCTTGGAAGTATCCCCACTTCACTTACTCCAGTTAGTTTGAGACGACCCTTCTTTTTCAAGAAGTGTTTGATTCAAGATCAGTTTTCTCCAACGTTGCTTCTTCACAAAGGATGTGTAGATGATGCTTTCGAAGTGTTGAAGAACTGAAGAAAGCTTGAAGGTCTTTGGTTCAGAGCAAATAAGTTGAGAAAAGTTGTGTAGCAAAAGTTATCCTGGCAGTTCTTCAAAGTGTATCTTATATACTGAGAGCAGTCTTCCCGTTGGAGTGTAGAAGACAGCTTCATTGAATGCTTGTACTGTTGATTTGACCGGTTGGACCTTCGACTTGCTATTTTGGGGGCATGAAGATTCCCGCATGGTCAATTATCAGCTTTAAATATATCTTAGTACGTACAACATTAATTGAGAATTTAATGCGTGTACAATACCATGTTCCCGTCGAATGGCTCCTAGCCATTAGAGGATTTCCCGTTAGTTTCACGGTCGTTGGTAAGTGCCTTCGAGTTCTGCTAAGTAAGAGCAAGTCTGATGAGGCTTTCTGATCCGAACTCTGATGACTGCCTCTGATGCCAACTCTGGTACCCAACTCTGGTAGCTTCTCTAGAGAGCAACTCTGAGAGCAACTCTGGTAGATATTCTGATCAAGAAGGCCAAGAGGGTTTCTGGCATGTCGACTATGCTAATACTTACAAAGAAATTTTTCTAATACAAAAATTCTATAGGGGTACTTTCAAATTCTAATAAACCTAGCATCATCAAAATCTAATTACATTTATTCCTTACAATTTCCCCCTTTTTGATGATGCCAAAACCCTTTAACTATTTCCAGAGAAGTGCCTTTCACCATAAAAGAATAAAGTTAAAAACTTTCATTAAAATCTTGGTGGGCAACTTGATATAGGAAAATAGTAAGAGTACAGTACAATCAGATAGCAATAAAAGGAATTAAGGTATCAGAGCAAACGAAAGGAAAACACAGAAAGTAAAGAAGAACAGATAATTTAAGATGCCATGCAAATTAGAGGCAGAGATGGTATCTTATTATCAGAGAGTTAAATACAGAAACAGAGATGGAAGATTAAGTTTCTTCTTCATCTACCTGGGGTCCTGCTTTGTCAATCCTCTCAAGTTCTGCATTGACCTTAGCTCTGATTGAGGCTAAGTCCCTTGGATTCTGATAGTCTGCCCAGTGAGGTGCAAGCTTGCAATCCAAGTAGTTTCTGATTGCTTCTGATATGTTTTTGCCAGCTAGAACTCTCATATGCCACCATATTTCAGCTTTTTGTATTGATCCACCATGGTTGATTTGGACAAGTCCATCACTGTCCATAAACAAATTTTCTTGTTGTAGTGGAGTCATAAGCTTCTTCATTTGAGTAAATTGATCTCTGTCAGGTCTAGACATCCCACTCTTCATCCACTCGTTAAATGTAAAGTTTGAGGACTTCTTCTTTGAGCTTCTGGGAGGTGGAGGAGGAGGTCTGGTGCCTGTAGTAGCTAGCTTTTTCTTCTTTGCAGCTTCGGAGTAAGGAGCAGGATCAATAGTAGATGAGGGTCCTCTGATAGATAGGGCTCTGGAGCTTGGACCTTCCTCTTCTCTGGTCTCTTCCCCTTTTTGGCCTCAACAAGATCACCAAGGAGGAGCTCAATCATAGAGAACTCTGAAGCCCGAGCATCTCTGATCTAATCTAGAGCTTCTGGCAGAGTTTGGGTAATAGAGGCCAGTCCTTCAATCAGGCTCTGTTGTCTCTCCATGGTTGATTGGATGCTCTGGGTACTGGCTTCAAGGAGTACCAACTTCTGGTATTGCTCCTTGTCCTTTTGAAGAAGATCAGAGGCTTGCGCTTTGTGTTCTGTACAAAGAGTTCCTATCTCCATAAAGCGCTCTGAGGACTGATCAGCATTCCATTGTAGAATGTCTAAGGCTTCAGTTATCTCCTTCAGTGTCTCGTTCTGATTATTTAGAGATTGGGAGTGGAAGTAGAGGACAGAGTTGATTCCATCTACTTCCTTGGAGACTGCATCAATCTTGTTATTGGATGAGTTCATGAATGCGTGCAGGGACTCTGTTAGAGAGTCAAGCTTTTCTGATAGCTGCTTTAAGCCTTGGTTGAGATTGATATTGGTGTGAGTCAGATGTTCATAATGCTTGTCGTTTATGACTATAAGCTTGTTCATGTTGTCCAGCATCTGACCACTGAACTCTTCTACAGATTGCACAAACTGGTTGAAGTCTATCTGAAGCTCTTCTGGAGTAAATCCTTGCATCTCCAAACCACTTCCCTTAGGGAATGGAGTGTTGTCGTCAGTGTTTTTAGGAGAAAGATCTCTAGGAGGTGTCTTCCTCCTTTTAGATGTGAAATCAGCCACAAGAGAGGATGTGAGGAATCCATCATTGTCAGCATTTGAGGATAATATGCGGATGGGAATCTTTCTCTTGGGCGTTGAGGCTACAGAGAGTTGAGGAGAGATTTGTGGTGTGGCAGCTCTGGAGTTGGACTTGGGTTTCTGCTGAGGGGGTGAGTTCTGGTGAGAGGGGGTTTTCTGTTGGGGAGAGTTCTGATGAATAGGGGGTCTCTGATGAGAGGAGCTCTGGTGGGTGATGGATTTCTGAGGTTTAGGAGAGGGTGGTGGTGAGGGTGAGCGGTTTCTGGGAGGTGTAGGTTGTTTGCAAGGTGATGGAGAGTTTGATTTGGACTTCTGTGGTGTTGGATTTCTGGTGGGGGATGGTGGAGGAGAAGAGGTTTTCTGTAGTGAAGGGGCTTTCTGTTTGAGTGGAGATAGGGATTTTGTAGGTGATTTGGGAGGTGAGGGGGATCTGGGTGTAGAGATTTTAAGTGGGGGTGATTGATGTGCAGTAGAAGATTTGGGAGGGGAAGGAGGAGTTGTATGGATTACCTCAAGAATAGTTTCTGAGAACAAGGATTCTCTCCATTCCTTGATCAGCTTTTCCATTGTCAGAGGAAAGTCATTTGCAGTGGAGGGTTCCCCTTCTCCATGAGCGCTATGACGGAATTTGATAAGAGATTCTTTTCTTTTCTTTTCTATTAGCCATTCATCAAAGACTGCCATTTCATGCTCCTCCAGGGCTTTGACATGCTCTTCTGGAGATGATGAAGTTAGAGGTGCTTTAGCTTGATGTTTCTCTTTCTTTTTCTGCAGAACAGAGATGAGAAAGGCAAGATCAAAGCACTGGGACACATTTTCTGTGCCTACCCAGTGAAGAACTGCAGCTTCTTTTGCCTCATAGCTGTCAAAATATTGTATTATTTTCTCGAGTGGCCCCATCCTCCATCTTCTCCAGGCTAAGACTCTCTCAAACTGCTTCTGAAGTATTGTATTGAAGTCAGTCTCTGGTGCTCTGTCAGAGATGACTTGAGGTTCTGGTAGATCAGCAGTGATGGGCAAGTCTGGTACAGAAGAGGGTTGTGCAACAGGTTCAGGTTCCCCCTGAGTTTCTGATCCCTTTGCAGGTGAAACTGTTTTCTTTTTCTTTTTCTTCATGGGTTGGAGACCAGAGTTGTCAGAGTCCTCACTCTGAACAACTATCTTCCTTCTCCTTTTCATCTTCTGCTTCTTAGCAGGAGAAGATCTGATTTGCTTTGGGGGAGCCAACTCTGATGCGCCCATCTCTGGTGCATCCATTTCTGGTAAAATCCTCCTGTCATTCTTCTTCTTCTTCCTGACATCCCTTGCAACCTGCGACTGCTCAGATTGTTCTGAAGTCACAGTGGGCTTCTTGGAGGTCTTCCTGGGAACAGGTTTGGGTTTCACAGCCTGTTGCTCCCTCTTTTTCTCTAGCCTTTCCTCTCTTTTCAACTCAGCAGATATGGCTATATTCAGCTTAGGAGATGCAGTAAGGAAGATGGTTTTGGAGTGGTCAACTGGGGAAGGGTCCCTGAGTTGAACTCCATGGGCAGTGAGGATGGCAGAGAGAAGAAGACCATGGCCCATCTTGGTTGAAAAAGGCCTGTTTTCTGATCCCTCTTCTTGATAAATTCAGTTAAAGAACCGAAAATTACCTCGCCCCAGTTTATATTCATTCCATGGCGAACAGCAAAGATTGCTTTGCAGTTGGCTTTGTTTATTTCGTCAGTTGAGCCAGTTTTGCACCACAAGCTCCTATGCAAGATGCTGACCAGCTTCTCATAGTCCTTCTTCAGTAAGAACTTCTTCATGTACAACTTGTCTAGGTTGGCGGCCTCAGGGTGGAAGTAGGTCTGTGCAAATGCTTCTACAGAGACATCCACTGACTCCAGGTCAATGAGAGTAGGGCTTTCAGGGTCTTGAGAGTCCAGTTGGACTCCAAAGAATTCGTTGAGGGCATCTGCATTGAGAGCGATGCTTTTTCCCTGCACCTGGGAGTGAACTCCGTTCTTGGTGATGGTGGCGTTCAGGTAGAACTCAGCCACATCTTTGGTGCTGAACAGTTCATAAGGATGAGCAACAACCTTGCTCAGTTGAGACTCGTTCATCCCTTGGATGATCTTTTCCATCCGTTTCTGGTTCTCTACTAGTAGCGGTAGAGCTGACATGTCCACCTTCATGCCAGTCACAATGTTAGCAACAATGGCCTTGGCTTCCTCCTTAGTGAGGTCATTTACGTTTATGAAGTTCATTTTCTGAGAGATTTTTGAAAGATTCTGGAGATTTAGGAGTTCTGAGGGGGTTAAAGGTTTTAGAGCAAATATACGTTTAGAGAGATGAAGTATCAGTAGCGGTTTAGGTTGAAGAAGGTGGGTTAAATGGTTTTGGGTTAGTGGACGTTTGGGATTATTTATGGTTTTGAGGTAGCATTTAAAGAAATGCGGGCGGAAAACGTTTCCATTAAAGGAATAATAATCAGGGGTAATCTGGTAAAAGACCTGTTCAAGTTAAAAGGTCTTGCCCGTTCCTCGAAAAATAACTAAGTCCACAAGGGTCTCTGATGGACTTTAGATAAGGATCCCTGTATCAGAGAATGTGGTTCTCTGATGAAGGGTACTCTGGTGATCAGAGATGGAGGTACTCTGATGTGAGGTTCTCTGTTCCAGAAGGCAGTTCTGGTCCACAGCAACTCTGGTTCATGCATCTCTGGGAGGATCATCCATCATTCCCAGTTCTTCCCTTAGCTTGTTAAACCTTGCCTCAGGTAAAGGCTTGGTTAGTATATCCGCTAGCTGATCTTCTGTAGGTACATGCTCCATACAAATATGTTTCTTCTCCACATGATCTCTGATGAAGTGATGTCTGATCTCAATGTGCTTTGTCCTGGAATGAAGCACTGGATTCTGAGTGATTGCAATGGCACTTGTGTTGTCACAGAGCAGCTTAATCTCCTTTTCTTGAATTCCATAGTCCTTCAGTTGTTGCTTCATCCAGAGTAACTGAGCACAACAATTCCCAGTTGCAATGTACTCAGCTTCTGCTGTACTGGTTGAGATTGAATTCTGCTTCTTGCTAAACCAGGAGACAAGTCTCCCACCTAGCATTTGGCAGTGACCAGAGCTGCTCTTCCTGTCTAACCTGCAACCTGCAAAATCTGAGTCAGAGTAACCAATTAGTTCAAAGTTACCTCCCTTGGGATACCATAGGCCTGCATTTGGATTTCCTTTGATATATCTGATGATTCTTGTAGCAGCGCTTAGATGGCTCTCCTTGGGCTTTGATTGGTATCTGGCACAGATTCCAACAGAGAATGAGATATATGGTCTGCTTGCAGTTAGATAGAGGAGAGATCTTATGATTCCTCTGTAGGTGGTTGCATCGACATCTTTTCCTTCATCATCTGGACCAATTCCTTGTGAAGTGTTCATGGGAATCTTTACTGAGGATTTGTCTTCTACTCCAAATTTTTTGATCAGGTCTCTGGTATACTTCCCTTGATTGATAAAGATTCCTTCTGGAATTTGATTGACTTGTAGTAGGGCTGCACATAAATTCCCTGAACCCGCAAAACCCGGCCGCTCCGACCCTACCCGGCCGACTTTAGTCGGTTATTGGGCCCATAAAAAATGTTGTGGGTTTATTTTTTAAAAACCCGTACATTTGGGTAGGGTTACGGGATTCCCTTGAAAACCCCGATAACCCCCCGACCCGGCCGCCTAAATTAACTTCCGTACATGCGCCTCTATTCCTCTAACTCTCTAAGCCCCTAAGTCCGAATTTCAGAATATGTAGAGGCGGCCCGGATTTTTTGTTCTCTGGCAACTTTCCGATTCCCACCTCTTCGATGCTCTCAAACTTTAATTTGCTTCGACCCTTCGATTCTCAAAATATGAGAGCTTCAATCTTCGCAATAGGCTCAGGATGTTTTACCTATTTATATGCATCCAACAGCCCTAAGCCCCTAGTTCGATTTTCATCCTTTCTCTGGCAGTCAAGACTCAAGAACTCAGAATCCTTCAAGAAGAGTTGATTAGTGAGCTACGAAAAGAGGTATGCACCCAGTACCCACCCATATGCTTCGTGAATCTGACACTTAGTTGGTTTACAATTTTATTCTTTTCTTAATTATTATTTATTTCATATAATTCAGGAATTTCTTTCATTATTTTTGTGTAGATGGATTCACTTGATGTGTCTGATTCAGTTAATTTAAGCTTAGAAACAATAGACACACCCAGCCCTGCAAATCTCACCCCCTCTGAGAATCAAACCCCCCCTCCCGTTCAAGTCAGTGATGTTGAGGTAGAAAAAGGATCTTCAGGGAAAAAAAATCTTACCTTTGGAGTCATTTTACTCTCATTCCGGGGAGGGATCCAGAAGACCCTAAGTGCTCTTGCAACTATTGTGGAGCAGAATACAAATGTCACAGTAGGAAGCATGGTACTAGTAGCATGAAAGTTCATTTTGAGCATCAATGTAAAAAAAATCCACACAAAGTCCAGGATAAGAAACAAAAATGCTTGAGCTTTGACATAGCTGGAAATGGTGGTCTGACTGCTGTAGGATTCAATAAAGATAATTGCAGACTAGTGTAATACCCGAGATTAATTTAAGAGGATTAATAGTACTACTCATACCAACAAGATGCATCTCCTTTTAAGGGAGCTCATCACCCAAGAACTTCAAAGTTAAGCGTGCTTGCACGGGAGTAGTCTTGGGATGGGTGACCCCCTGGGAAGTTTCTCGGGGCGTGCACGAGTGAGGACAAAGTGCGCAGAAAAGGCTAGTGGCGGTTTGTGAGGACAGTACTAGAGGTCTGGAGTAACTACCTCGGGGCCTACGGGGCCGGGGTGTTACAAATGGTATCAGAGCAACCCTGCGACAGTGTGCTGACCCGTTGGATATCAGGCGGGCACTTAGCGGGGCAAGATTCTGGGGTTTGATTGAGATTGGTTTAAGGACGCAACGAGGACGTTGCGATCCTAAGTGGAGGTGATTGTAATACCCGAGATTAATTTAAGAGGATTAATAGTACTACTCATACCAACAAGATGCATCTCCTTTTAAGGGAGCTCATCACCCAAGAACTTCAAAGTTAAGCGTGCTTGCACGGGAGTAGTCTTGGGATTGGTGACCCCCTGGGAAGTTTCTCGGGGCGTGCACGAGTGAGGACAAAGTGCGCAGAAAAGGCTAGTGGCGGTTTGTGAGGACAGTACTAGAGGTCTGGAGTAACTACCTCGGGGCCTACGGGGCCGGGGTGTTACAACTAGCTTTAGCAAAAATGATTGTCATGGATGAATTGTCTTTTAGATTTGTTGAGGGTGAAGGATTTATGAAGTTCTGACAAGTAATGCAGCCTAGATTTGTTATCCCTTCTCGTATGACTGTTGTTAGGGATGTATATAAGCTATTTTCTGATGAAAAGAAAAAACTCCAGGCTGAGATAAAGAAGCAAAACCAGAGAGTATGCTTGACCACAGATTGTTGGACCTCTTTGCAAAATATAAACTATATGTGCTTAACTGCTCACTACATTGATGTTGAATGGAATTTGTGTAAAAAAGTTTTAAACTTTTGTCAAATTTCTAGTCATAAGGGGGAGTTAGTTGGTAAGGTCATTGAATCTTGTTTGCATGATTGGGGCATTGATAGAGTTTTAACAATTACAGTTGATAATGCCTCTTCTAATGACACTATGATTGCATTCTTGAAAAGAAAATTGAATAGCTGGAAAGGTTCTGTTTTGGGAGGGGAGTTTATGCATAGTAGGTGTTGTGCTCACATCATTAACCTAATTGTGAGTGAGGGATTAAAAGACCTTCATGATTCGATTTCTGCAATTCGTAATGCGGTGAGGTTTATCCGAAGTTCTCCAGCTAGACTTTCAAAATTTAAAGCATGTGCTGAGAGGGAAAAAATTGAGTTCAATGGGCTGTTAGTGTTAGATGTACCCACTAGGTGGAACTCTACATACCTAATGTTGGAATCAGCCATTAAATTTCAAAATGCATTTGAGAGGTATGAAGATGAAGATGACAAGTATTTGTCTTATTTTGGTGAGGAGGAAGGTGGGAAAAAAAAGAAAGGCCCTCCAACTTACACTGATTGGGAGATTGCAGCAGTATTTGTCAAGTTTCTGAAAGGGTTTTATAACACTACATTGAAGTTTAGTGCAACCTTAAATATCACATCAAATGCCTACTTCCATGAGCTATGTGAAATGCAAAGTCAGGTATATACTTTCATATTATGCATTTTTTACTTCTTTTTATCTACTTCTCAAGTTTTATATGATAATAATGAAAATACTCTTTGTTTTCTGATTTGTCAGCTCACATACTTAAGCAATCATAAGGGCTCTCTACTTTCCAAGATGGCTGCTAGCATGGAGAAAAAATAATGTTAATTGTTAATTGTATTCTGTTGGTGGCGGTAGTACTTGATCCTAGGTTTAAAATGGAATACTTGACTCACTGCTTTAGCTACCTTTTTGATCAAGGATCTCCCGTTCATGAAATCTTCCCTAAAAAGGTGAAAGATACGTTGTATCGTTTATTTGAGTTCTATAGTGGTTTCGGGTCGGAAAATGGGGTAAAAGATAGCAACCATGGTGAAGGAATTGCAGGTATGAGTGCTGATGATAGTCTGGAAGGGAGAAACTGTCTATGGGGCTCTTTTGCTCAAAAGATGAAGCAGAAGAATGAAAATGATTTCAAGAATGAGATTTAAAGATACTTGGCAGATCCAGTTGAAGATCCAACAATTGATAATTTTGATCTATTATCTTGGTGGAAGCTAAACTGTTCCAAGTTCAACGTTCTTTCACAAATTGCAAGAGATGTTCTGGCTATTCCCGTGTCAACAGTAGCTTCTGAGTCAGCCTTTAGCACTGGTGGCCGAATCTTAGATCCATTTAGGAGCTCATTGAGTCCCAAGACAGTGGAAGAGTTGATATGCACTCAAAATTGGCTTCGAGGTTCTCTTCCTGCTGAAAGCATAGACCTTGAGAAGATGGAGGCATATGATATTGCAGATTTAGGTATTTATTATATCTAACATTCTGAATTTAAATTTAATGTTTTATTTAAAGTGATATCTAAATTGTGTTTTTTCTTTTCAGGTGGATCTTCTTTGGTTGACAATGGTGAAGCATTTTCTGGAGATGTTGGAGCTAGAGGATGTTGAACATCATTGTTTTTTGCTGCAGCACACATGGATGGATTGTTTTGATTTTTCTTTTTTTGCTTATTAAAACTGGATTATCTCAATTATGGAGATGCTTTTGTGGCTTATTGGCTTTTATGCTTTTGCACTTATCTTCAGTAGTGCTTGTTTTTTTGCTTACTGTTACAAGCATCTCTGAACTTCTTCTTTGGCTATTAATTTAATCAAATGTTTTGCAGGCTTATTTTTGTTTCTCCATCTATGATTTATGTATTCAGAATGCTTCTTTGATTAGTTCAACTATAAGTTTTGATTAGTTCATTGTGTTTTTTAATGATTAACTGAGCTTTTTACTTTTGCTCTATCCATATGATGTGAAGTTAAAATTATCTGCCAGTTCACTAGTTTTTTAGGAATGGATGAATTAATATATATACTTGCTTTCTTGCTTAATGGCTTGCTGTTTTCTCCATCTGACTGCTGATTCAGTTAGTCCCACTTAGCCAAATAATGGCTTGCTGTTTTCCCCATCTGACTGCTGATACAAAACAGAAGTTTTGAAAAATGACCATAATCCAAAAGCGTTTTAGGATCCTAAAGTATAACATGTACAAAAATTATGCTGTTGTAAAACTGTTTTTCAAGAATTCTAAAGTTATCCTAAAGCGTTTTGGATGTTTTTCAACCTGTCATGAATTCATGATTATTGATTAGTGTAAAACTGTTTTTTTGTTATCAAGAAAAAAATTGCATGATTTGTATTTACTTTTTCTTCACAGTTCACAAAATAGAAGTACAAAACCGTAAAATCCTAAATGCTTCATAAGTGCATTAAGGATCGTACCCGACATGATTTTATTTTTGTTTACCCGACCCTACCCGACCCGTTCATGCATGGTTTACCAACTAATTTTACATATTGCGGGTTGGTTGATAGCTAACCCGAATAAATTGGGTAGGCCCAAAAATTATAGCAAACCCGACCCAACCCGCCCGATGTGCAGCCCTAATTTGTAGTCCTAGGAAGTAGCTCAGTTCTCCCCTCATACTCATTTCAAATTGACTCTGCATTACTTGAGAAAATTTCTTGCACAATTCTGCGTTAGTACTTCCAAATATAATATCATCAACATATATTTGTACTAACAGAATATGATTAGCAACAGAAATTTGAAATAGAGTTTTGTCAACCTTTCCTTTGGTAAACCCATGGTTCACTAGGAATAGGGACAATGTGTCATACCATGCTCTGGGAGCTTGCTTAAGACCATAAAGGGCCTTTCTAAGCTTGTAGACACAGGAAGATTGAGTAGGAATGACAAAACCTGGTGGTTGTTCCACATAAACTTCTTCTTCAAGATCTCCATTAAGAAATGCACTCTTGACATCCATCTGGTAGACCTTGATGTTGTTGAAGGCAGCATAGGCTAGGAAGATTCTGATGGCTTCAAGTCTGGCAATTGGTGCAAATGTTTCATCAAAATCTATTCCTTCTTCTTGGCAGTATCCCTTGGCTACCAGCCTAGCCTTATTCCTTACAATGTTGCCTTCTTCATCTTCTTTGTTCTTGAATACGCTTAGGTCTAGGAACAAGTTCCCACACTTTGTTCCTTTCAAACTGAGTGAGCTCTTCTTGCATTGCATTGATCCAATCTGAGTCTGCAAGAGCTTCTTCTACATTCATGGGTTCAATTTGGGAGATATATCAGGCACACATTGCTTCTCTTCTGGTTGTAGCAGATCTGGTTTGTACTCCACTTCTGAGCTATCCAATCACCTGGTTTGGAGGATGATCCCTTAAACAAGTTAGGTCGGGTTCTGATAAGGGTTGCCTTGGTCTCTCTTTCTCTTCTTCAGGTTCTTCATCACTATCTTTGTCTTGTAGAATGGGATTCTGATGATGAATTGGTATGGCAGAGTTGGTGACCAACTATGATGTGACCGACTCTGGTGTTACCACTTCTGGTGATTCTTCTAGATTCGTTTTATCCAAGTTCTCCGTTATGTTCTCAACATAGTTGAGATCATCAAACTTGACATGAATCGATTCTTCAACAAGTAGGGTCCTTTTGTTGAGTATTATGTAGGCTTTGCTTGTGCCTGAGTAGCCTAAGAATATTCCTTCATCAGCTTTCTCTTGGAACACTTTTAGATGTTCCTTTCCATTATTGAGTATATAGCATTTGCCTCCAAATGCATGAAAGTAGCTGATGTTGGGCTTCCTTCCTTTCCAGAGCTCATAGGGGGTCTTCTGATGAGTTTTGTGAATCATGCTCCGGTTCTGGGTGTAGCATGCAGTATTGATTGCTTCTGCCCAGTTTCTGTGAGGTAGACCAGATTCAGCAATCATCGTCCTTGCAGCTTCCTTGAATGTTCTGTTTCTTCTTTCTGCAACTTCATTCTGTTGAGGAGATCTGGCTGCAGAAAGTTGATGCATAGTTCCATTTTGGTCACAGAACTCTTGTATGACTTTGTTGACGAACTCTGTTCCTCTATCTGATCTGATAGCTTTGACTTTCTGATTCTGCTCATTCTGTAGTAGCTTCAGCAGAGATGGTAGTTTCTGCAGGGTTTCATTTTTCTTCTTCAGAAAGATTGTCCAAGTGTATCTTGAATAGTCATCCACCATGACTAAAATATATCTTTTTCCACCAACACTTTGAGTTTCTACAGGTCCAAATAAATCCATGTGGATCAGATTTAAAGGACTAGTAGAGAGGTCTCCAGCAATGGGTTTGAAGGAGTTCTTCACTTACTTTCCTTTATGGCATGCACTGCACAGGTTCTCCTTCTTGTACACAAGGTTGGGTAGACCATCAACAATGTGATCCCTTGCTAGTTTGTTGATTGTTTTGAATCTCCTTTAGCTAACAGGCAAATTCCTTCTTTTGCAGTAGACCAATCAACAACATAGATGTTTCTTTTCCTGGTAGCTGTCAGAACCACTTCCATAGTTGTCTCATGCTTGACAGAGTAGCCTTCTTTGGAGAATTCAACTGTGTAGCTTTTGTCACAGAACTGGCTAGCACTTAGCAGGTTGAATTTCAGGCCTTTGACATAAGAGACATCTTCAATGATTATCATGTTCCTGATCAGCTTCCCTCTTCCTTTAGTTTGGCCATCTTTGTCATTACCACCAAAGGTAACTTTGGGCCCTTTGATTTTCTGGAACTCTGTAAGGCAACTCTTGTCACCTGTCATGTGCCTGGAGCATCCACTATCAATGTACCAATCTTGCTCAGAGATAGCTCCAGCACACAGTTCCTACAAAAATTAAAAGGAAGATTTAGGTACCCAAGCAATGTTGGGTCTTAGAGGGTCATGCAGTCTTGGCAGCTGGTACCACTTTGGTCTCATCAAGTGAAACCTTGGTGGGTTGTACCCATTGTCCACCTGGTAGTCATAGTAAACGGAAGTGTGATTCACTTTGCGCAGATGCTTATGAGGATCATGATTCCGGTTTACATACTTCTGCATAGCCTTTTTGGTTGGGTAGAAGTCCCATATACTATCAAGAGCAGAGGAGCGGTTAGCTTTGGGCTTCTTAAGTTGACCAGCCAACCTTTTCTGCCTAAAGTTAACCTTCTCTTGATATTTGCCTCTCTGGTGATCATTTCTGGTGGGGTAGTCATGAGAGTGTCTGGTCAAGTTCTGTTCTTTTTTTCGGTTATTTTTAACACCTTTTCTGTTATTAGGTTGTCTGCCAGGTTCATTAGTTTTCAAAACTTGTTTTGGTTGAACCTTTATTTTTTCTTTTTCTGGTCTGACCTTCTTATGAACAACCTTGGTACCAGATACACTAGCTTGGCAAATGGGGCTAGAAATCAGTGTCACTATGACCTTGTCTGCTTTAGCAACTCTGGTGCTAGGCATTATGGAAGGCTCACCTGATTCTGATGAGCTATATCCAATACCAAAACCAACGCCAATTTGTTGATCAAGCACAAACCTTTCCATTGAGGCCTGGGCCTTCTGGTAGATTTTATACTTAATCTCAAGAGGCTCTATCTCTCTTATTCTCTTGAGAAGAGAAACATTTTCAACTTCCAGCTGATCTCTCTCCTTAATCAGTAGATTGATTTTGATCTCAACCTCCTTTCTTAAGTCAAGAATTTCAACCTTAAGCTTATTGTTTTCTTCTTTAACAGAGGAATAAGTGGCTTGGATGGCTTGAAACTCTTCCCAAAATTCTGATATTGAATCAGAATCAAAAGCTTTGCTTACCGAAGAAAAACTAGAGTTAGAAGTAGAGGATACCTCATCATTGGATTGACCCATAAGGCATAGGTCTTCAGTCTCTGTATCCAGGCAACAGAATGCCTCATCGGATTCTGATTCTGAGGTGGACTCTGTCTCAGAGAGGGGGTCCTTCTCTGGTTGCTCAGAGATGAGTGCCTTCCTTCTTCTGTGTTCATACTTCTTCTCTCCTTCATGGCCTTGCCTTTTGGAGACTATAGGGTGTGGACAGTTGGCTTTGAAGTGCCCTGGTTGTCTGCAGTTGTAGCAGAGAAGCTCTCCACTACTTTATGATACTTTGGGTTTCTGGTGTGGCTTTCTGCTTGAGGATGGACTTCTGCTGTCCTTTGGCTTCAAGAATTTCCTGAACTTTCTGGCAAAGGCAGCCATATATTCGTCAGTTAAAAGAATAGAAGGGTCAAAGTTCTTTACCTGTGAAGTGCTGGCTATGAGGGCAGTGGTTGTTCTGTCCTCAACTTCTTCTTTCTCTTCTTCATTCATCTCGAACTCATAAGATTTGAGATCAGAGATGAGCTTCTCAGTGTTGTAGGTTCTGAGATCTTTGCTGTCTCTCATGGCAGTGACCTTCATCTTCCAGGGTGAAGGTAGACCTCTGAGAACCTTCAAGTTGATCTCCTTGGGAGTAAGCTCTTTCCCAAGTTCTGATATCTCAGCAGTGAGGGTGAGCAAGCGTGCATACATCTCAGCTATGCACTCTTTGGGTAGAAGTTTGAAGTCTTCAAACTTCTTCATGGCAATGGTCAGTTTGTTATCTTTCTCCTGCTCATCACCAGCTCCTATCAGGGTGTGCGTATCCCAGATTTCCTTGGCAGAGGTGCACTTCTTGATTCTTGTGAAGTATTTGTCATCTATGGCTTTATAGAGGATGTCCTTGGCAATGTTGTCAAGGTTGTATTTCCTCCTCTCTTCATTAGACCACTCATGACGCAGTTCGGTGATCATCTGAGGTAGACCACCACCAACAGTGTATTCAGGATTGACCTTGGTGAACTTTGTGAAAGGACCAGCATCAAGGACTTCCCAAATTTCATCATGGAGTGCTCAGAGGTGAGCTTTCAT